CTGTAGCTGAGCCTCAGCTCCCAACATGTGTGGGGGTTGTAGCTGGAAAGGGTATTTTTATAATGCAGCATAAAAGATGTACAGAATTTCAAAGAATTGGAAGGGTCAATAGAGAATTTGAGGGATAAGTCCTCATCCTTAGTTCTGGATGCCATGACTTCTGTCTACAGACTTTTTTCATGAGAGCCTCTATAGCTCTTGGACACGCTGTTTTGCTTGGCTTAACCAGGAAGTCCTCCTGGTCAGATTTTCTCTCAAAACATGCAGTTTCTTCTGCTACTAACCTTGTCAGGCAGTATTCTGCCTATAGCCTAGGGCAGCGCTTAGCTCCCTAGTCACTGCCATCTCCTGTTCCAACAAATCTTGCTTCTCCTAGTACTTGGCCACCTCAGCTTCTTCTGCTCTTCTTGGGACCACTGGAGCCTTTTCTAGCCTCCACCCTGCTCTCAGACGTCCTGTCCCACCCACCTCCCCAATTGTTTTGGTCTCATCTCTCACTATTGGCCTTTTCATCTGGGGTCACCGCTTCCGCCCAGAGGTCCTCAAGCCAGAGTACCAATGAGCGATTCCATTGGGGCGGGGGGAGGTGGGCAGGGAGAGCAGTGTTTCTCTTTTGGTGATAGAGTATAGTGCCAGGAATACAGAGTGACATTTCTCTCATGCTTGGGACTCCCTGCTCAGCCCTTCTCTGGCTACACGCCCAGAGTATATCCTTAAGTACCAGCCCGGGGCAGTCTCCTTTCTCTACCTGTCTCTGGCCAGGAAGTACATTCAAAGCCCCTCTTATCTATTCTAGTTGTACAACCATTTAGTTTAAGAGGAAAGCTCCACCCGCTTCAGGCAAAAGGCGTCTTAAGAGGCAAAATGAAAATATTCTTTCCTGGAGCCACCTAGTAGGAGACATTAAGGTGGGTAGAGGGCTGACTTTCATTACGTTTGGAGTAGAGCTGCTGCCTCCCAGGATCCCGTCTCTCTCTCTTCCTTACTGTGAGCTACTTTGGCTCCCAGGGGTCAGAGGAACCTACAAGGTGCCCTATCTCATGGGAGCTTTCTAGGCTCTTTTTAGCCACATGGGGAGGGATGGTACCCAGAGTCACACTTTACCTAGAAATTAATTCCTTCCAGGTTTTTAGGAAGACTCAACTTGTCCTTCCCCACTGTCTCTTCCCTTAGCTCCATTGCAAGTTCTTGGGAGACTCCCCAACAAACTGGCACATGCTAGCTCCGCTCTTCCCATCACTCAGCTTCTCTTCCCCATTCCACTCTCTTTCATCTACAGAAGACCAGGAGGAGGGGAGGAGAAAAGGAAGATGGGGAGGAGGAGACAAGAGAAGATTATGGGAAGGTAGACACTTCCTCTCTTTACTCACTTTGTCTTGCTTTCCTAAGATCAAGACATAAATGATGTCTGCCTCAATATCTTCCTTTCATCTCTCCTTTTCTTTACTCACAGCTAAATATACAGATAGGCTATGTAATTTTATCTTTTTGTGTAGGCCACAGTAAAGGTTGCAAGCATGTCTCAGTCACCATGCTTCATCACCATTCTTTCAAAGAATGTCTATCTAGCCCTGACTAGCTACCCAGCACTGTTTCAAACACCATTTCTCCTCAGTCTTATCTTTTCCTTACCCCATTCTCAAAAAAAGCTCATCACAATTGCCTGGAAAGTAATATGTACTGTGATTAATTTCTTTTTTCTTTTCTTTTCTTTTTTTTTTTTTTTTTTTTTTGAGACAAAGTCTCACTCTGTCCCCCAGGCTGGAGTGAATGGTGTGATCTTGGCATACTGTAACCTCTGCCTCCCGAGTTCAAGCAATTCTCTTGCCTCAGCCTCTCAAGTAGCTGGGATTACAGGCACGCACCACCACGCCCAGCTAGTTTTTGTATTTTTAGTAGAGATGGGGTTTAATCATGTTGGTCAGGCTGGTCTCGAACTCCTGACCCCGTGATCTGCCTGCCTCAGCCTCCTAAAGTGCTGGGATTACAGGAAAATAAAGAAAGCTCTTCTCAACCCCTCAAACTATTATTATTATTATTATTATTATTATTATTATTAATTTGACAGCTGCTTGTTTAGTGCTAATCAGAATCAGAAACTGTTTTGAAGAGTTTATCCATTTTTAAAAACAGATACCATCAACCATAAAAGAAAAATATATGTCTACATGCCTAGTGGAACAAAAAAAGAGAAATGGATGCTTTACAATCCAGGTTAACAGCCCCCTGCTCTCTAGCTAATGACAGTCAAATCAGGAAATGGGTTTGGAAGTACATGTAGAATGGTGGAAAGTGGGATGCAAAGAGATCTTTGTATGGAGGGGTTTTTTTTGTTTTTGTTTTTGTTTTTGTTTTTGTTTTTGTTTTTTAATGGGGTTGGTGGGACTTTCTGATGGGAACAGTTGCAACTGAATTTGATTTTGATTTAGAAATTGTATGTGTGTGTGTTCTACAAATCTCCACAGAACATCCATTATTTTCATCAGAATAGTCAAAAACACACGTTTTTACACTGTTTGGTGGCAACTCTAGTGGGCTATTGAAGAGTGCTGGGGAATCAATTCTCTTTTTATTTATGCTCCTTGGTGGGAGCTGGGGGCATCTTTCTCTCTTTCTTACCCCCACTCAGCCTCCCCCAAGCAGAGAATGCCACATTCTCCTAGAGAGCGGCCTCAGGCCCAGGCTCCTTTTCTTGGCTTTCTCAGCACGACAGAGGCAGTGTACTCCCTCTTCCTCTCTTAGTCTATCTCCTTGGTGGGGGCAGCAGTATGGGTGAGGGGGTAGTTCTCCTAAAAATCCCACCCAGTTTTGAGCCCCCAAAGCTCCTGAGCCCTGATCCCTGTGCTTGGGGGCACCGTGGGAGTGGGGACATCTGACTTCCCAGGCTTGGATTCCTTGAGAGTCTCATTTGCTTCCTCACACCCTGTCTCCTTCACACCAGGGCTGTTTTATTGTTTTATAACCTTCTTTAGAGGTTCAGTTGCCAAAGATTCTGATGGGGCTATTCTCCACTTTCTCACTTTACCAAATCCCAAGTCTTGATGTTTTAAGCAGTTTGGTCACTTGCAAACGCTTTCCTTTCAGATCTAAGCAAATTATAAAAACCTCTAGGCATGTGGCTACCTTCAATTTTCTCCAAACTCATCCACAACAATACGGAGGGAGCCAAGTGTTAATCCTAACTGCCACTCTCACCCCCAAGCCCACCCAGCCTCTCTCTAACCAGCCTTTCTCTATTGAAACTTGAACAAAATCTCAAATTTCCAACTTCTGGTATAAGCAAGTAAGAAATGGCTTTTGACTTTTCTCTTTATCACATCTAGAGCTAGGAAATTATTGAAATAAAGGGGTTGATGGTACTCACAGTGAATGCAGCCAAAGAATCATAAGACATGCCCACCAATCAGCCTTTTCCAAATAGCACTATCTCCCAACTTAAACAGCTTCTCTGAAAAGATGCTATTTGAAAAGCCTGGGTATTGATATGAATATGACCTCCCTTGCATCTTGGATATTTGGAACTATTTAAATCTGAGGGAACAGTTGCAGCAAACCTTTATTTAGTGAATAAAAGTTTAAAGCCAAAGGTTATTTATGGTTCTGCAGAGATGAGACCTGAGTGGCTATTTACGAGCACGTGATTCCAATAAACTTTGTTTTATGGCTTGAGAGTTGACAAGCCAAAATATAATTCCCACCATAAATTAGGTTAAGAGCATACAAGTGCAGATGCTGGGTTCCTGGAGCAGCAATAGGAACGTGAGAGGCTCCAGCCAGCACCGGGCTAAGAAGGAGACAGTTCTACTCAGCTCCCCTGCCCACTAGGAAAGAAAAACAGTAAGTCACTTACTACTTTTTCCACAACAACTTCAGAGGTGTGGGATTTCTCTGTTCCTGACTTTTCTGCTTAGGATGGGGAAGAGTCTCATCGAAGTTTATTCTAATTTTAGCCTAAACCTAAATTAACAAATAGAATGAGCATCTTGATCTCTCACGCCCTCCCTTCTGGATAGGGACAGTTCGGAATTGAGGGTTCCCACCTCACAAGAGGGACTTACTGTCCCTCTCCTTCCCATAAGAGTATCTCCTTCAGAAGTGGAATAAAACAATGGTATTCTGGGTGGGGGAAGAAAGAGAGGGTGAGGGTAAAGATGCTTTGTCCCTGAGATTTCTGATATTGCTTTCTTATAATAATATTAGGAAAGACTGAAAACTTAAAACAGGACACCAGCCTCTGGGAGGAACATTGCTTTATAAGATTGTTTTCTGGGCTTTCCAGCAGCAATCCTGAAAAATTGATGTCATACCCATAGAGCTAGATAACAATCTAAAGCATTGCCATTTACCTTTAAACCCATTGATTTTCCTCCTTGGTTATCATTTGGGTCTTCATTTTCCCCTGGAAAATGCTCTTTGTTTTGAATTGGAGTAGAAGTGGGAAGGCAAGTACCAGCCATGCTTGATTCTTCTTTGAGGAGAAAACAGGTTTTGGGAACACTGGTTGGAGCTGAGGAATTTGAAATCAACCTGAAGCTGGAAAAGAAGGTTGAATTGCTCCCAGGGTGACAGAGATAGGAAGCTGGGGTGAGGGGCAGATGGAGCGGCTACCCCTCCCCAGTGGACCTGCACCCACCCAGCCGGATTGCGCAGAAGGAAACACACAAAGGCCCATTTTCTCCTCGCTTCCCGTTTTCCCACTGGGAAAACCCTGTTACAAGCGGCCTGACTTGGGCCAAATAACCAGTGAGGTTTTGCCCAAGGGTGCATGGAGTGGGGGAGGTAATGGAGACCGAATTGTCTCATAATCCGTCGCTCTGCCCTTGAGGGACTGCGGTCTCCAGCTCCGCGGAGAACTTTGCGCAGTTCCCGGGGACGGGCACCTGAAGCAGGGAGGTCTGGATATTGGTGGGGTATCTTGGCCTTGTCATTTTTCTGTGTGTCATATGTTTCTGCTTTGTTATCCTGTGAAATTTAAGTGACCCCCGTTTTCATTGCAACAGGTTCGGGACCATGAGAGAGCGCCGCTGTAAGTACCTTCCCGTTTCTTCCGAATCGCGAAGTGGCGGTACCGATTGCGGGAAAGTGGTGGGCTTAGGGCCGAGTCTGCGGAGTGGGCGGTTGAGGAAAGGCCCTGCCTCCCCAACCCCACCCCAACCCCCACCCCGGGCCTAGCCTTGGGAGGTTAGCTCGCTTTGGGAGGTGGAAGCGCTAAATCCAGCTCCTGGAAAGCTTTTCTTGGGCCTGGTTCACAGACACCTGCCTAAGGGAACGGGCCGTGGCGTTTCGCCCTGATCTCCTTGGGCCTTCCTGGACCTTCGTGGCCGGTCCCTGCTCGGCACAGGTGCAGCTCTGCCAAGGCGCTCACTTCTGTTAAGAGCTTGCTAGTTAGCAACCTGTCCTATTAACGACCTGCGGCATCAAACCAAAGCAATAAACACCAAGGCAATGCGATCCCCTCCGCAGTCCAGCCCTTCTTAGCCCGGTCCAGCCTGGCCAACCTTCTGTTTTTAAAAATATTAACTGAAAAAAAAAAAAAAAAAAACTCAATCCTCTGTGGCCGTGGGTGTGTTAAGTTGCCCGCTTCTGGGAAAGGCTGTGAATTCTGAGCTTTACCGGACATTCCCTTCACCAACCCTCCCCCGATCTAGTTGCAGCCTTGCGGGCCCTGGGTTTGGGACACTGGCTGAACGAGGAGGGATACGGTCCTTCTTTTCACCTCTGCTTCTCTGTAACTGCAGTTGGAGGATTTCCTCCCCAGAGTCGCTGTTGCTGCAAAGAGACATAGGAGGGTGGAGCGGGGTGGGGTGGGGCCAGAGATTCCTGGGGCCCTTGGCTTGGATGTTTGGATCTTTCTGAGTTGCCTGTACCGCGAAAGACAGGTACATTTCTGATTAGGCCTGTGAAGCCTCCTGGAGGATCATCTCATTAAGAGGATGGTATTGGCGGGAGAGTCACAAAAAGAACTGTGGCCCCTCTCTCACTGCAAAACGGAGGCGATTTTATTTTAATGGGAGATAGAATATGAGAGGGCTGCAGCTACTAGGCACCCACCTTCCTTAATGGTTGGAAAATCTGGGGCTGGGCTCAGCGGCAGGTTTTTTGGCCCCGCTGGGCTGGGCAGTCTAGTCGACCGTTTGTAGGCTGTACACACCCCTAGAGGAGCAGTTACCCTCTATACATCAGGCTGATACAAGTGAAAGGGGCTCTGGGCTCCAGGCTGGAAAATCTGGTGTCCTGGGGACCCCGTGGTCTTGCTTCTCTCCTCCCCTGCACTGGCTTTGGGTGCTTATCTCTGTGGAAGCTGCTTGCTAGCAAACCCACATTCACTGCCCGGTAGCTGAACACAGCACAAAAAGCCCGTGAGATCAAAAGCGTTAGTATAGGCAGTTGAGCGGGAGGTGAATATTTAACGCTTTTGTTCATCAATAACTCGTTGGCTTTGACCTGTCTGAACAAGTCAAGCAATAAGGTGAAATGCAGGTCACAGCGTCTAACAAATATGAAAATGTGTACATTCACCCCGGGTCCCCAGCCAGCTCAGCAGCCTCCTCCAATTTCTCTGGATAGAGCCTAGGCCCAGTGTCCCAGGAAGGTGGGTACGTGGGAGTCCTTGGCATTCAGGGAAACTGGGGGGAATCTTCAGGGACAAAACAGATTCTGCAGCCTCATAGCCCTTGTTAGAATGGGCACCCAAAAAATCCCTACGAAAGTGGTAAAGTGATGGAACCAAAGCATTGGGGGTGTGTGCAAAGTGCCATGCCTGGAGGGTAGTATTCCTGCCCTGCCCCACCAGGCCCAGGCCTAAGCTCGAAGCTAAAGTTTGAATTATGTGGGAAGTAGGAAGGGCAATTAAGACAGGGGGGGGGAAAAAAAGCACTTTCGGCCCACAGCCGTTCAAAAGCCCCACTCATCCTGGGCATCCCTGTGCCCCTGAAATCCATCCAGGCCCTGAGTGAGTCTGCGCTCCCCATGCCCTGAACTGAGGGGCATGCCCTGCGCAGTGCCGAGGCACTGGGGCGGGTGAAATTGGTGAACTTTTGTACTCTTGTGTGCTGCTGTCGGCAAAGCAAAAATAATGAAACTTTGTGATATGTTTGTAAATGATTTCGAATGACCCCTCGCCCTGCCCTTCACCATTAGCGCGCCGGCCTCAGCCCAAGGCGGCTCGGTGCCTGTGAGCAGCGCCTGCCTCGGGGTCTGCAGCAGCCGCGGAACGGAGAGGCCAGCCCGGCTCAGGGCCCATGAAGGTAAATGCGCGACTTCTTGAAGAAGTAGCTTTGGCAGACAACCTGGCTTGGTCAGGCAGTAGGAAAAGCAGTGGACAGAGCATATTCTCCTCTTGCCTCTTTTCCTTCTGCCGCTGAGGGCATTTGTTCCTTTCTGGAAAATACCACTTGATAAGGAGGGGGGGGTTATTTGGATCCTGAAAGGGGGGTAATAAAGCCGCCATCCCTGGGATGGATTATTTTTATTTCTTTTTTTCCCCTTTCTTTCTTAAAAAGAATATTCTGGTTGCTAGGCTGCTTGGTAACCCCGACCCTGGCAAAAGAATGAGGAAACTCGTTGCTTCAAATTGTCGCCAAGCCCATCAGGCTACCTGAACTGTTTCAGAAAGTGCGAGTGGCTGCGTTGGGCGGTGGTGACTCAGAGGAAGAGGCTGGGGCTGGCAGCGGCCTAGGCACCTCACTCTGGGTGGGACCCAGAGGTTGTAACGTTGTCTATATATACCCTGTAGAACCGAATTTGTGTGGTATCCATATAGTCACAGATTCGATTCTAGGGGAATATATGGTCGATGCAAAAACTTCACGTTTCTTCGAAATAGCCAGAGACCAAAGTGTGAAGTGGAGACTAAAAGCAGCCGACACTGGTCAGCCGCCTCTTTTTGTTTTATTACCTTGGACTCCAGGAGGATCAGCTGTGCCTGGTGACACAGAGCAGCATTTTCCTCTCCAGAAGCTCCTCACCTTTAAACAGAGGATCCTGTGGGTGCTGAAAAAGAAAAGGAAAGAAAGAAAGAGGGAGAGAGAGAAAGAAGGAAGGAAGGAAGGAAGGAAAGAAAGAAAGAAAGAAAGAAAGAAAGAAAGAAAGAAAGAAAGAAAGAAAAGCCTAATTGGTTGCATGGATGCAAGACCAAAGGGTTAGGTTTGGCAGTAATAGGGAGTGAGGTGCAAGGCCAGCTTGCCCAGTCCCAGCTCTGCCCTCCAGGGACATGAGGTGCAAAGGAACTCTAATGGGGCTCGCTGGTATTTGGGGCCCTCCTGTGGGAAGAAAGCAAGCTTCAAAGAAACCCAGTGGGGAGCTCTGGGGTGCATTTGAGCGAGTTGAGGATACCCTCACCACCATCCCAGCCCACCCCCAGCTACCTGGGCAAGGGCAGCAAGGGCCTCTTGCCATTTCGGCAGGGCCTAGCTTCGGCTGGGAACCCCCGGGCTTGGGCACTGGTAGAAAGCATGGTGGTTACTCATTGCCTAATTTGATTCAAGCTGGCCAGATTCTGGTAACTTTCGGGTGACCCTGATGAAGACAAAGCCAGGACGGCAGCCTTTGTATGGCAGAGTCCCAGCTCCCGCCAGCCGCAGGCTGGGCGGGCAGGCAGGAACCCTCCCCGCCTGGGGCACTCTGCCCAACTAATGGGCGACTTCGCCCACCCACCTTTCATTGCTCTGCTCCCCAGTAGGAAGATTCATTCTCCCTTGAGCTGTGTCTATTTGGCTTGTGTGGGGGGGTTGCTTTCAGTTGGGGGTGATTGGAGCGGGGCACGGAAGGTTGGCAAAATCAGTGACAGACAAAAGCTGGGATTACCTGAGGGGAACGGGGTGCTGGGAACTGGAAGTACATTAATATCTGGCAGGGGCTCTCAAATGTGCCACAGCAAGCCACTTGATTACACGTATGTTATTTAGTTAAATTTGTAAAAATTATGAGATGCTCACCAACCCGGTGATAAACTTGCTCCCTCGCCATTGGCTGGCCTGGTCACATGGCCGCCCAACTTTATTCAGTTGACAGCAAGTAGGAGGGCCCTATGGAAGGAGAAAAAAAGACAACACGAGAAAAATTAGTATTTTCTACCTTCTGAAATTAATGGTCATGAGTTCGTATATTGTGAACTCCAAGTATGTGGACCCCAAGTTCCCTCCGTGCGAGGAATATTTGCAGGGTGGCTACCTAGGCGAGCAGGGCGCTGACTACTACGGCGGCGGCGCGCAGGGCGCAGACTTCCAGCCCCCGGGGCTCTACCCGCGGCCCGACTTCGGTGAGCAGCCTTTCGGAGGCGGCGGCTCCGCGACCGGCTCGGCGTTGCCCGCGCGGGGTCACGGACAAGAGCCAAGCGGCCCTGGTGGTCACTACGCCGCCCCGGGAGAGCCGTGCCCAGCGCCCCCAGCGCCTCCGCCCGCGCCCCTGCCTGGCGCCCAGGCCTGCAGTCAGTCCGACCCCAAGCAGCCGCCCCCCGGGACGGCACTCAAGCAGCCGGCGGTGGTCTACCCCTGGATGAAGAAGGTGCACGTGAATTCGGGTAAGACTCTGGTCTAGCAATCTCTCTGCCAGCATCCCAGCCCATTGGCCTGGGTCCCCTGGAAGGGTGTGCGAGTAGGTGGGGGCGTGTGGAGCTTCCATGGGCGCCGCAATTACTCTCCCCATAAATTTTTATAGCTGAGGGAGCAGGCCAGGACCATGTGGCTGGCTGCTCCGCTGTGGGCGCAAAAGGGGGTGGGGATGGGGGTGGGGTGGGGGAGGACTCCATTTTCAGAGCAGGGGGAAGGCTGTGGAGGAGCAGGGGATTTCCAAAATGCTTTCTGGGGTGTTCCGGACCTGATGGTGGGCCTGGAAGAAAGAGCACATTTGGGGATCCCGCCCTGCAAGCCTGGGGTGTGTGGGTGTGTTTGAGGAGGTGGGTGGGAGTGAGCGTGTGCGTCGGGGAGAGGGTGGGAGGGAGGAAGCAAAGTGAGCTTGGGAGCACGCGGGGAGGGCCGTGGGGCTCCGGGCGCGGCAGGAAGTAAGCGGCGGAGGCGAGGGGCCTAACTAGTGGCCGGGCGCTGACCTGGCTGTCCTGTCTGTTTTGTCTCGCAGTGAACCCCAACTACACCGGTGGGGAGCCCAAGCGGTCCCGGACGGCCTACACCCGGCAGCAAGTCCTAGAACTGGAAAAAGAATTTCATTTTAACAGGTATCTGACAAGGCGCCGTCGGATTGAAATCGCTCACACCCTGTGTCTGTCGGAGCGCCAGATCAAGATCTGGTTCCAGAACCGGAGGATGAAGTGGAAAAAAGATCATAAGCTGCCCAACACCAAAGGCAGGTCATCGTCCTTGTCTTCTTCCTCGTCTTGCTCCTCCTCAGCCGCCCCCAGCCAGCATTTACAGCCGATGGCCAAGGACCATCACACGGACCTGACAACCTTATAGAAGTGGGGACCCTGGGCCCATCTCTCCCTGCACACCAGGCTGAGCCGAAGCTGCGGGGGCAGGCCGGGCCTGCTGTCACCTTGCTGGGCTCTAAGGTACTGTGGGGTGGACCTGGGACTAGCAGGCCGCCCTCGGACTAGGTTAGCATCCTGCCCGAGGGCAGCCCCCTCCCTAGAGCGGGATGGGGATGGGAGGGGGGCGGGATTCTCTCTCTATTATATGGCAGGAGCTACTGAGAACACAAAATCTTGGCGAGTCATTAAACTCATGAAAATCACCGCTCTTGGATTTTGAATTTGCAAATGAAGGTTGGGTGCTTTATCCTACTGTAAATGTGGACTTTCTCCCCCACTCCACCCCTCCAGGGAGCTTTGTGGCTTAATAATGTGGGGGAGTTGAGGCAGAAGGTTGGCCACCCTTGTGCTAGGTGCTTTCAGTGGAAGCCAGAGAGCTGGGTCAGGATTTCTGAACTTTCTGGATTGTCTATGGAGTTTCGTGTGATTAAAAAATATATATTTTGCTCCCAGTGGCCCTGTGTCCAAAGAAATGGGTCTAAGAAGGAAGTGAAAACGGGTTATTTTATGTTTAGATATTTGCTGAAATATTTATTTGTTGGGAAATGTGGTACAGAAAAAACCGACACCTTCATGCCAAAAATCTTACAAAGGTGAAAGGCACTGAACTTCAGGGAGCAGAATGAGAGATATGTGCACTTACTTCTGAACTCCACCCCCACCCCAACCCCCACCACACACACTCTATGGAGGTGTGTGTAGGGGCTCTTAACCCTTCCAGAAGGAAGCAAAGGATCCACTCAAAGTTGAGTTCCTGAAAATATATTTCCATATGTGCTTTTTTTCAGCACTGTGCTTACCACCAGTTCTGGGTGATTAAAGGAAAGGGGAAAAAACGCAACAAATGGTCCAACATTTTCCTTCTGGGGAAAGAAAACAAAACCTCTATGCACTGGGTCGTTAGATAATGACTGAATTTTCTGTTCCAACTGGATTTCAAATGCCCTGAATACCCCCACATAGCAGTGTTTTACAGGAACTGGTGTATGGCCTGTGTAGGGGAAGAGCTGTGTGGTGGGGAGAAAGTGGGAAGGTGAGGAACTCTTGCTTTAAGAAAGAAAGAAAAATAAACCTAATTGAATCTAGACATCCACAAAAGTTAGCCTTAGAGGTTTTTTTCCTCCTGAAGTTTTAATTTTTTAAAAAACCAAATCTAAGGAAAATTTCCTCAGCCCATTAATTAGAAGCAGAATATGTAAAAGCATAAAAGTTTTCAAGCACTCATCTTTGCCTTGAGAATAGTGCTTTTTTAAAAAGAATCACTCTCAACAGGAGAGATGTTCTTTAGTCATTTTTCTTCTGCCTCGCCTGGGAAGGGTTCAAAGTTCATTTTTCTAAAATGCTGACCCTTAAGCATAAGGAGGAAAAAGTCAAAGGTAATGACCAGAGTTCATATACTTAGATGAAACAAGGCTTCCCAAGGCCTCAGGCTTGGGAAAAAAAGGTTGTAGCTATCAAAAAGTGACCAAAGTCAAAGAGGGAGAAAGGGTAAGCTTAAAACTTAATTTTATGATTCAGAAAGGGGATATTTTTTCAGTGCTTCAAAAACACTTTAGAAGGTTTCTGTGGTAATTTAAAAAATATATTTAAGTGGGAGGGAAAAAAGAGTTTCTCTGTAGGCGTGTTCTTTGGCTGTGTCTCCTGAGAGCTGAGGGCAGGTATTCACTGCAGTCCCTAGGCTGAAATTCCGCTTCTCTAAAGTGTCTTCCAAGCCTTGGTCTTTTGTATTAGACCCTGGGGACTGCTCTTTGTTCCTCCTTGGGGTGAGCCTGGCTCTCAGACTTGCACATGGCAATACTTGAATATCACCACGTCGAGATATTAAAGATGGATATTCCTGCATTATTCACATCATTGTTTCTATGACAAAAAGCACAGAATTCATACATAGTCAAGACGTCTTTTTTCTGACGCCCTCACGTAGAGAAGCTGAAAAGGTATTTTACTGAAGTTCGGGTAAATTACAGAATCAGGTTCATCCAGAGGACAAATTTTCTATTCGATTAGCTGTATTTCAGCCGGGAGAACTGACCTCTAAACCCTTAACCTTTTGGACTCTAACTACCCTTCTTTTCTTTTTTCCTCTCTAACGTGGAGAGCAGTCTTTGGATGTACCATTTGAAAGGAGCCGCTATCCTTAGGCAAGTTGGAAAGTTGCTAAGATTCTTTCCTAAAACTTTAATCTGTGTATTTATTAAACCTTCTCCTTGGGAAGGGGAAAAAAGTATATATTTTCACAACATCCAACTACATATATATTATAGAAATTTGTTATATAGATTTTCCCCCACCTCAAAAATTCAGGTTATTCACCCCCAGCTTCAAACCAAATGCCACAAACACTTAACTGACTTCATCCCTGCCCCAGAGGAAAGCCAGGAAACATGTTTTCATGAGGAAAACCCAAGCTCCTTCTCAAACAGCCTCACTACTTTGGACAGTAACTTAATCAGAGAAACTTCTTTGTTTCTAAGTCTCAGCTCTCCTTCTCAGCTTCCAGGGATTCTTTTGAAATGTTAATGGAGCTTGGATGGCCCAGAGTGCAGCCCCCAACCCTGAGGTCCCAGCCGGACTTCAGCATCCATTTGGGCCCACAGGAGTGAGTCAGGGAAGGGGTAGGACCCCCCAACCACCTAGGGCAGGGAAGGAAATGGGTTTCCATCTGGGAACGTGCTCTGGAGAAAGCTAGGTGTGGAAAGGCTCCAGTGCCCATTTGCTATTATTTGTTTCCAGTTTGTTTCTTTACATATGAGCCAGAAGTGTTTGTGTTGGTGTTTAAAAAAAGAAAAAAAAAAAAAAAAAAAAAGTGGTGGGGTCCTGACTAGGGAAGGGGGCGAGTGAAGTGTTTGCTGAGGATGTTGCTCCTCTAACTCCCATCTCACTCTGTCCATTGCAGCCTTTTGTTGTGAGATGACATTGTCAGTCAGCCCCATGGTGTCTGTTCACACGAGATGCTTTTTAAATAGAATTGACCAATGTTTTGCTGCCACTGATTAAAGTATTATTTATACTAATTGTTGCTTGTAGTTTTGATGTAATTCATTGATCTATATTTAAAATAATAAAAGGTGTAGCAAATCTCCCTCCTGTTTGGTGCCTTAACAGAAGTATTCATCCTTTGTTAAGTCTTCTAGAAGCTAACATTTAATATAAACAATTTATTATTTTCTGCAATAAATTAGGCACCATTTTTGGGGGGTGGGGTGCCTAAAGTGTGAAGGTTAAACCTTGTAAGGCTTAGCAATTCTGTTATTACCCCCTCCCTCATATACACATACTCCCAATTGGCTATCATATTTTGTGAGCATTGGGAAGCCTGGAGTTGAATTCAGGGTACAGAGTGTTGGGTGTTAATTTTTTGAAGAAAAAGAAGTAATTGCCCAGGTTAACAGGGGGATGAAAGTTGGCATTCTGCTGGGCCCAGCCCAGCCCCCAGATCCTTTTGGTATGGAAGCCCTCAGAGGAAGTCTTTGTGAAGTGGTGGATGAGACACCTTACCGGTCTCCCACCCCCAATGTAGGGAGAGCTCGCTGGGTTCTGGGCTGAGCCGAGGCTGCTGGGTGGCTGCTCTGACCTGACCCCTTGGCCTCCACTCTTGGGCTCCTACTTTTCCGGTACCGCTCAGCTCCTGCGGGGACTCTAGCACCTGCCCCTCCTTCTCCCGCGCCCCCTCCACCCCTCAGGCAACAATAAACACTCCCCGCTATAAAAAGTGCCGTGCACTACATTTATCGCAAGGACTTCTTCATATCGTGGCCTCGCCTTGAAGAAGGGGCCAAGACAGGAGTCCCAAAATAGATGGGGGGCTTGTTCCAGACAGGAAATAAGCAGAATGTATAAAATCAGACATGTGTCCTTAATATATGGAAGGGCTTGCCCCAGACGCGTGGACATGTGTATTTATAAGTGCGCAGGCAGAAGTTTAAATATTCAGACACGTTTTATGATTGTCCTCTGCCCGTCTTCTGGTTAATGGCTCCTCCCGTGCCCACCAATACATCAATACCGTTGTGTGTATTGAGTCGCGGGCAGGGATGAGGAGGAAGCGCGTCCACAGCAGAGCCCGCTGAGTACAGTACAGTAAATCGGGACCCTCGGCAGACGGCGCTTCCCACCCGCCATGTTGGGGAGCCCTCCCTGCCCCCCGCGCCAGGCTGGGCGGCCAGGGCTCGCTGGCAGCCGGGGGAGGGCCTTTCATAACCCGCAGAATTTTCAAAGTGCGAGGAAGATGGTAAGAATAGATTTCTACATGTCCCGACCACGTGATTGGCGAAATAATTAATTCAGCACGTCCCTTAAGAAACACGGAGTCGTCATTAATCTGCCACGCAAAGGGCTCTCTCCGACTTGGAAAGTGCAGGGATCCCAAGAATATCACCCGCCCAGGGGGGCCGCGCGACGTCCCCGGCCCTCCACCCCCTGCCCTCGGCGGGTGCGGGAGCCTGGCCTGCAGGTAAATATTTTGGCAACTTTTATTTCATCAGATTTAAATCCTTAATGAACTTAGCTGTCAGGGCTGCTAACAAATAGTTTCCTTTGCTTCCTGATTTGGAACTGCGAGCCGGCGAGAAGTTGTTAGTGGCTTGGATGGTGACCTTTGATTCAGCAAAGCTTTGCACTTATGAAAAATTACTGAGAGCGGCCGAGTGTGTGTGTGTGTGTGTGTGTGTGTGTGTGTGTGTGTGTCCGCGCGCGCGCGTGTGTGTGTGAGAGAGGGAGAGACAGAGACAGAGACAGGGAGAGGTGTTTGTGCGAGGCGCTAGGGTGCTAGGGGACGAGGGGTGAGGGGTGAGGTGCGCGCGGGCTGCTGCAAGACAACAGGAGTTGTAAAAAAAAAAAAAAAAAAAAAAAAAAAACCGGTCCGGCTGGGGACGCGCTTGGCGCACGCGGGCCGAGGTTGCCCGGTCGCCTGTGTCTACTGGGAACAATGGTCGCTGTCACGGCATCTGCCGCCTATTCTTAAACCGGTGAGAAAAGGCCCTGGCCCTCTTTTCAAGCGAGGGTCGTAAATTTTTCTTTGC